GCTACATATTTTACAAACAAATAGTAGGTATTAAAGACTAACTACTAAAGCAACACTATAGTGTTTGGAATACAAATGTGTATTTACTGTGCCCCTGGTGGACGTTTAGGTTACCAACCCCAACGTGTAAGGAGAAAAAAGGTAGTTTACTTAATCCATCCCAACAACGGTCTCTTTTGAAGAACGCCAATGTTTCAGCTGTAGTGTTAAAAGGGGGGGGGAGTTAAAGTGGTCTTGATATAGAGTTAAAGTGGTCTTGGCATCTAAAGTATCCATATTCTAAATTCAGTTCCAGGTAATTTTAGAATATACTCATATTAATGTTAAAACTACGGGTTAAGGTAATTATGCAGCATTATGTGACATACATTTCTCATTTTGTAATGGAGATTGCATTTGTGCAAGTCCTTTGGCAGAAGAAGCTATTTTTTGCAATCTAGTAGAGTAGTTCCTATTGTTTATCTAAATTGCTGATAAATGGCTTTCCAAGGCAATGTTTATAGTGTAATAGTTCCTGAAATAAGAGTCAGTCCTATCTCCCAGACTTCGCTAGTCATAACTAATGATGCCTTTGCTTATACTGTATGGCTCTCAAAGAGACAGCGCACTCCTTGCTTAGAAAGCTGTGTATGAATGTGGAGCAGCTTGCGTATTTTGGCGCCAGTTAATATAATAAAAACCTCGGTAACCTTTCTGCTTTGCTAATTAGTAACACATAACTTTTCATGATGTAAAATATATGTGCACAGTGTTCATTCTGATGGAAAAAAAACCTAAAACAGTGTACATACTCTAGATATATGTACACACAGAACACCAGAAATGTTTAAAGAATAATAACAAATTATTTAACCAGGAAAGGTACATTCAGATTACTCTGGTTTTCAACTATCCAATGTATGTGTAAGTGTCTTGTTTTATTTATTATATAGATTATTCAAGGTCATACACAGTGTCATATTTATATGGCACCAACATGCTCCATAGCAGTGTACAGCAGGTAAATACAACATATATAATAACTGATAAACAAGTTTAAAGTGATGATGTCCCTGCAAAAATGAGCTGTAATTGTATATGTGTGTATCATAGGCGTGCGCAGCCTATTGCATTAGGGTGTGCACCCTAAAGCACAAGCACACGCCGCATATATATATATATATGTATGTATGTGTATATATATATATATATATATATGTGTATATATATACATACACATATATACACACATACACACACTGCTGTGTGTGTGTGTGCTGTGTGAGGGTGCTGTTAATGTGATGTGTGTGACGGTGCTGGTAGTGTGCTATGTGGGTGAGGGTGTTTGTGTGTGCGTGCTTGTGAGGATGCTGTTAATGTACTGTGTGTGAGGGTGCTGTTTGTGTGTGTGTGCGCTTGTGAGGGTGCTGGTAGTGTGCTGTGTGTGTGTTTGTTAGGGTCCTGTTTGTGAGGGTACTGTTAGTGTGCTGTGTGTGTGTGAGGGTGCTGCTGTATGTGTGTTGTGAGGGTGCTGTATGTGTGTGTGGGTGCTGTATGTGTGGGTGCTGTGTATGTCTGTGGGTGCTGTGTCTGTGGGTGCTGTATGTGTGTGGGTGCTGTATGTGTGTGGGTTCTGTATGTGTGTGGGTAATGTGTATGTGTGTGGGTACTGTATACCTGTGGGTGCTGTATGTGTGTGGGTGCTGTGTATGTCTGTGGGTGCTGAATGTGTGTGGGTGCTGTGTATGTCTGTGGGTGCTGAATGTCTGTGGGTGCTGAATGTCTGTGGGTGCTGTATGTGTGTGGGTGCTGTGTATGTCTGTGGGTGCTGTGTATGTCTGTGGGTGCTGAATGTGTGTGGGTGCTGTGTATGTCTGTGGGTGCTGTGTATGTGTGTGGGTGCTGAATGTGTGTGGGTGCTGTGTATGTCTGTGGGTGCTCAATGTGTGTGGGTGCTGTGTATGTCTGTGGGTGCTGTATGTGTGTGGGTGCTGTGTATGTGTGTGGGTGCTGTATGTCTGTGGGTGCTGAATGTGGGTGGGTGATTGTGGGGGTGGAGGTGGATGTATTTGGAATACTGCAACATTAATTGCTATCCCCCCTCCCTTCTTACCTTATGCCTGGGAGGGGGATCCTTGTTGCTGCTGATTCTGTCCCTGGTGGTCCAGTGGAGAGTGAACTCTAGCCCCCTGTGGGGCTAGAGTTCACTCTCGCGAGATTTGAGCGTTGCCATGGCAACGCTCATATCTCGCGAGAGGAACCCGGCGGAGCTATTGCCGGCAGCTCCGCCGGGTTCCTCTCGCGAGATATGAGCGTCCTCTCCTGCCTCCCTCCCTGCATGTGGGTCAGTGGGGAGGGAGGCTGAGAGCAGAGCCGGCGCTCGGATAGCGCCGGCTCTGCATGAGCCGACAGGGGAGATACTGAGATCTCCCCTTCCGGTCTCAATATACATAGGCGTGCTGCGGGGATTAGGGTGTGCACGCCTATGGTGTGTATGTAACCTTACAAGCGCTACAGAATATGTTGGCACTATATAAATGCCGATAATAGTACAAATAATAATTAAGGATATGCAATATGCATTGGCTATAGTTAGTTATGGCAATAAATACACATGGCATTCACATACTTTATGATTTACTGATATCCCAGAGACTGCATTATTTTCTCCTAATGCATGAGTGGCCATTTTGTATCTTTTATATTCTATACATTCCCTGGATGTGAATGGAGCGAGTCATTGTTATATAAGGTATATTGAGCACATCCAGTAAACACAAAAACCATTATGCAACCCGTTATGCACTGACTGAACAATACAATATTGAGCTTAATGGAAGTGGACGACCACTAGAGAACAATGGCAATCTAAATAAGATAATATGTAATTTCACCCAACATGGAGTTGATGTGGAAATAGGAGTACTGGTGACTAACCCAGGGCAGGTCCTAAAAAGGGGGGTGGTCTCCAATAGAGAGAGAGTGTTGATAGATTTTATGGCTAACCTGTCTCAAAGCTGCCCCACTCTCACAGCACTTCTAAAGTCACCTCAAATGTGCACATTTCCCTTAGTGCATTTTGTGAAACGTGAGTGAGCCTGATGATTGTCAGAGACAGGGACCAAAACTTAACACTGTTTGGAGGTGTAGTCGATTGTTCCTAAAAATAATTACTTAGATTTAGAAAAAAATAAATTCTTGGACTTGAAAGTGAAATCTGGATGAGAATTGTCCTCATGGATGTTTTTTGGGCTGAGCATAGTTACCCACCTCTCAGCTGTACAAATTGTCACAGCAAACCCATATACACGTCCTAGCCTCAACCAGAGGATAAAAATAGGTAACGCCTTTTCAAGAGGTTAAAGCCGACAACATTAATTGAACATTCACAGAGATCACACTAGATGTGGAGTTTGCACAGGCTGCTGTTACCAGGCTTGTAGCACACATAGAAGTGATGTCTAGCCTTACTTGTTCAGTTGTGGGTTGTGGGGGGAGGAGGGAGGGAGGGTACGGCTTTTTTAGTGATAGACGGGAATATTAAAACAAATGATTTTTTTTACTACTGTATATATTTTTAGTATCAATATTGTATAATTTTTAAAATAAATAAAAGCAACATTAGCAATCATTTCAAATCAACTTATTTCTTTAATTTCCCTTAAACAATAAATAACATCTCTATGAGGTAACTTGATTACATTAAATTTGTACTCTTGTTCATATTTAACCCTAGTATGTTAAACTGTTAAACAAATAATCTTCAGTGAAACAAATTGCAGAGTGTATGTAAAGGCATTTAATTGTAAGTGACATGGTGTTTACTTAATCAATACCCACAATGTATGCCACATGGAATTTCATTTATGCTTCTAAATACTCTCTCAATGTAGAAATGTAACAATTTAAATATACACTCTCTTGTGACTTTATGCAGCAGCTATTAAAACCTTTGTTCTTGAAGTATTCCAGACTGCCCCAGTCTTTTTCTTAAAGGGGTACACCAAGCATAAGGAACACTTAGCTGACTTGAAGTGGTCATGGTGCCTCTACTCTGTATGTACAGCCACAGTTCTGGGTGGCCAGTGTAGCTAATCTGAGTTCTGTGCATATTTTACATCTGACAACAGCATGTTGGCACCAGACAGCCAATGGTGGCATGACCCCCAACCAGCCTCAGTCTGCCTTCCCTGCCATCCATCCCCCTCAAGAGAGGAAGAGTGAAATCAGCAGAGGAGGATCAGGCAGCAAGGAGAACCTGGCGGTGGTGCTGCAACAGAGATACATTTTATCTATATATTTTAATGAGGGGGTGGGTTGTGGACGGTATAGGAAGGGTTGCTCTGACCAAAAATAGTGTTAAACGAAAACACAGTTTTTTGGTTGAATTAGCCCTTTAAGTGTATGTATTTGAGTAGTTAGAAATGAGACAATTCTGGGCAAAATTAAATGTTTTGCATTCATGGTAGATTGGTGTAGGGCATTTATATGAAAATAAATGAACTACAAAATAATCCTTTATTAGGGTAACTGAGCATCAGGGGCAATACTCAGGTACTGGCTCCCCAAGTGGGTTTCTGAATAGCCCCCGGGTCTGAATTTTGGCGCTCATTCATTGTTGGCTCTAACTCCTAAGTACCATTAATAGTAGTTTCTATATATCAATTTCATCCATATTTTCAAGCCATTCATTGGTTGAGTTGGTCACAATGACAAGTGGACTGTTGGGGTTGAACAAAGTTGTGGTCCAGGCACTCAAGATCAGTTTAAAGAGCAGATGTATTTGGAATACTGCAACGTTTCGATCTTGAAGAGATCTTTCTCAAGCTCAATGTTGAGGGACCTCTGATTTTGATAAAATCACTGAAATGGTTTGACCAAAAACTATGGTGTGTATGTGTATATATAATATATATATATATATATATACACAAACAATATGTGAACCTTGGCACTCACCCCTTTAAAGTATCTTGGTAAACTTGCCTCAGTGCTCCCTTTGCATAATAATATATTCAAAAGAGAGTATGTGCGCTCACAGGTCTTTTTTTCTAACTTTTTCTTTTCTTTTTGATTTAAAAAGAGTTAGGTGAGTGCACCTACTCTCTTTTGAATGTTTGATTTAAAATAAAATAAAAAGTTAGAAAAAAAGACCTGTGAGTGCACCTACTCTCTCTCCCTCTCTCTCTCTCTCTCTCTCTCTCTCTCTCAAAGTATCTGTGAATACTTTGATTCAGTGGCAGAACTACCACTGGTGCAGCTGCACTGGGTCCCGCAGTTAAAAAGCAGTGTCAATGTTTCAGTTCCCAATGGGAACTTTCTCCAGGACAGATGTCATGCATGCAATATTTAATAAAGTTATATAGTAGTACTTCTCACTTTATCTGTAAACCAAATTGAACAAACATGTGCCTATCAGTGTACTGCAAAATAGATAAATAATATTTGCTTGTCATTTTGGATCCTCCAAATAATTTTTCCTGATAGAATTGCAGAGACAAAATGAATCTGAAGTGAAATGTTACAAGGACGAAACCCTAATAGGTTAAACAGAGTTGTGCACATAGGAACAAATTTGAAAAGTTGACCCTTCTTGATTTGGAATAGGTAGACTGGACAAACATTCAATTCTATTTGTGTCTGTATCCATTAAACATTTACTGAACGTACTGTTAGTCCTGGTTTTCAAGGAATGGATAACTTATTTTCGTATGTAAGAACGAAGGGAATGAAGGGATCGGAGGTAGAAAGTAACTCATACCTCACAAGCCTATACTTTCAAAGTACATGTGCAACCCATGAACTAATAATTGAACTGCTTAAAACATAATACTTAAAGAACAAAAAGGTAGAAAAAAAGAGAGAAATTGGAGCCAAAATTATTCACTAATACCTCCTAACTTGGGGGGTAACCCCTAAAGCTCAAGTTCAATAAGTAGCAATGAAATATATAGATAAAGTGGAATAGGCTGAGAAAGTGATCTATAAAAAATGAAAACATCACTTTTAATAGTTACTCTAAAAAGTCCCAAATCGTGGACTAAACAAATCACTACAAACTAATGAGAAAAAATAATCAGTTATGATACTGGACTGAATTTGTCCTGTCACTGGATGGGACCAGATTGATCGAAAAAAGTAAGACAGATGATGTATAGTGTGATAGAGGGGACTCAATCCGTCCACTAAGTCTTTGTAAAAGCAAAATGAAAAAGAGCCAAAATGTTCTAAGTGGTTTGTGACGTCAAACAAAATAATACTTAGACAGTATTCAGTTCTATAGAGCAATTACCATCTAGACAATATCCAGAGAATAGTAGAGTGTTTACACATTGGTAACAGTTTCAATGTGTAATATGGTATCTATGAAGGTGTGTCAATTAAGTAACATTGTTGCAAAGGCTTGCTGTGAAAAGTTTAATATCTTAGCCTGATACAATGTACAATTCTGTAGCTATTTGGCGGTAACCACAGTAAGCTTGCTTAAAAAGAATTTTTGCATAATTATTAGAAACATCCATTGAATGCTGTACCGATTTATACGGTTGCAAACCCAACAGTATAATTGGTGTTAGTGTAGTTTAAATGCAGGGGATTACCAGCTGTTGTGTCAAGGTAACCACTTGTCTGTCAGTGTAGGATCGCTTATCACCCCGGGTAGTGACGATCGTTAGCTTAACTGTGACAGGCAGCGTTAAATATAGAGGAGAGATGCTAGTGTCAGGGTGATAGCAGAGAGGATCGTAGGACTATGTACATCTTACCCTACTGTGCCTTCGAGGGCACCCTTTATTCCCAGTAAAAGCTCACCCTGTGTAACTCTGGGGGAGGTGGTGATTTACAAGTTACAAGTTACTTTTTGGATCAATATGGTCCCATCCAATGACAGGACAATTCAGTCTGGCATCGTGAATGATTATTATTTCTTATTAATTTGTAGTGATTTGTTTAGTCCACAATTTGGGACTTTTTAGAGTAACTATTAATAGTGACGTTTTAATTATTTCTAGATCACTTTCTCAGGGTATTTTACTTTATCTGTATATTTCATTGCTACTACCTCCAGTTGTCTCTCTCTTTTTTGATTAAAACATAACCTTTAATAAATTAAATGTTAAAACATGTATGTAAAAAATATCACAGCTATTTTTGCTTAAAGTAAGGGGTTAAACTGGCTTGAAAAAATCAGAGGATGAATAATAATAACCGGGAAAGGGGAGGGGAGTATACTCTAACAGTAGGAGACTCCTATGTACACCAAATATCAAGCCAGTACTCCTCCCTCTTCTTACTTTCAGCAAAAATAGCTGTGATACTTTTTACATACCTGTTTTAACATTTAATTAATTAAAGGTTATGTTTTAATTAATCAAATTCTTAGTTCATGGGTTGCACTTGTACTTTGAAAGTATAGGCTTGTGAGGTATGAGATACTTTCTACCTCTGATCCTTTCTTTCCCTTCTTTCTTACATATTTCAATTAGGGACTACCCCCCAAACCTAACCAGCAACATAACACCCTCTTCCTGCTTACACAAAAATGTAAAAATAACTTATTTTCATACTAGGACACTCTCCCTTGAATATTGGTAGTTGGCAGAGGATTTGTTGGCAAAATCTGTGTAAAGTGTATTGAAGAGAAGTAAAACAGGGCACAGTGATTGTTTTATAACTGACTGGAGGAATCTATCGTGGGAGGTATTTTTATATTGCATGAAACAGGAATTTGTTTAGACAGTGGTGAGAAGAAGCTATTAGGAAAACATGATGAATTATTTCTTTGTAAATTGGAAGGCAATGAGTGAAGGAATATTTTTTTCATTATATATTTTGTTTTTAAATAAATCTTGGATGAGGAAAGCAAGAAACAAGTGATAATTGGTGCCCAGCAGCACGCATATACTAAAAAAGACGCTTTATTAACTTAAAATAACACTCCAGGCGCCATAACCACTGTGGAGCTTTTTAGTGATTATGGTGCCAGGAGTTTACTGGTATTCTGCAACATAAGTAGTCATATTGTTTCTCAATAGTAGCTCACCAGGCATGGTTGCCTGCCACCAGTAGAGCTGTAAACACTCTGCTGTGAGCTTGACTGGCAGGTGCAGGGCTTAGCCTAATGGTTGAAAGGACTCAGCTGACTCTGGGGAGTTTCAGGGAGCTTACAGAAGCTCAAACCAATAAAATAACTAGTAGTGTCCGTGTGTGTCACTTGGAAATAATTGAAAGTCCTTGGAGATAGCTCCCAATGTTAGAGGATCCATGAAATCTACTAAAAGGAATAATATTGCTTACTGTACAATTCCTACTTTATTCACTCCAATTTTTTTTTTAATTTTCTATAAAGTAAGAATTCAAAGTTAATTTCACATTTAAGATCTGTCAACTATGATTTCAGTTCACCTGCTCTGGCCTTAAATTTGAAAGTTCCATAGTTGAATTACAAAATATGTCCAGTTTAGCTACTTTAATATTAAATTAGAATTTCACTTTATATTCACTTAGAATTTTCATTTTAATAAATAACCCTTTTACACCGTTTTTCACTGTTTTATACAAAACGTGTCCATCAGTTTAACCCTTTTCTCTTGTTTCTTGGCTCTTGCGCTAAATGGTCATTCTTATTACTTTTGTACTCCTAGCATTTTAGATTCTACGTTTCTGTTTGTGGTGCTTTGGGTGGCATTTTACTATGTTAAACATTGCATTTATTAGACTAATTGCATCTTTACCAATCAAAAAAAAAAGATGAGAACATTGTGTTGAAGTGGCAATATATAGACATTCATGATGCAAAAACGTAATTGTTCCTCCGGTAAGAAATAAACATATGTTGGGCAATTATCTCAACAGTGAAAATAATTTTGCATTAAATATATGAAGTGACAGGGTGATAAAAGCAGCAGCTCTGATGGCTCTCTCAGTAGTCGTATTAAGGAATTTGCTGAACAAAATATATTGTCCATTTCCTTTTCACTCCAGCATTCATCTACCCGGGATCATACACACGATGACTTGTTTTTCATACAAGCGCACCATCAAAGGGAACCTTACACAGAGCATCTGAAGTGTATTAGTCTACCCTGTGCAGGACCATGTCTGCTATAATATATCACAGGTGCAGGATTAATGGCAGTGTACAGTATGGGGTGAACTTTGCAAAAATGTCTTGCAGGAGACTTGTGTTATGAACAATAAATAGAGTTATGGAAATGTCTGCTGCAAAGAAATTCATGAACAAAAATACTTTTGCAATCTCATATCTTTCTATTATTATAACATTTCTCTAAACACACTCTATTGTGTAATACCTTCCAAGTATCCCTATTTAGGAGGGACAGTCTTCATTTTGGGCCCAATTCCCTCTGTCCTTCTTTTCTTGTTGGTATTTCTCAGTAGATAACATCACTCCATAGCCATAATACTGACAGTAATGTGTATTTAAACTACAATAAATGTGTTTAGAAATAAGTTTATGTAAGATACATTGTTCTTTTTCTAAATTACATTTTAGTTGTAAAAATTATTAGTAATTCACCTAAAATGTACTCAGAACAGCCCTGCACCAGGCCACTACATCACCTACACCCCTAACATTTTAGACTGTCCCTTTTTGTCCAGTTGAAATGTTGGGACATACGTTGTGTTATCATTCAATATATCTATGACAACGTAGATTATTTTATTATTCTAATTTATAAAGTGCCAATATATTTCACAGAGCTGTGCAATAGGTAGATTTACAAATAAGTAATAACAACAAGACTTGATGGAATGTAGGATAACAGAAGGTTTTTACTTGAAGAAATGCCACACTAGAAGAGAAGAGGTGCTGAGTTGTCAAAATTGAGCAATCCCCATAGAAACCAAAGGAATGTTCTTGCTAATACCACTTTTCTCAGGGTGATTGCTTCACCACATTTAGAACGTTGCTTTGCTTCTTGCTTTACTTCTTTGTATCAAGAAACATCTTATTAGAGACCAGAGATTTGTGCATCCACAAAACTCTGGTCTCTGTCCATGTACCATGGTAGAGATATTTGTTTTGAAATGTAGGGCTCCTGGCTTGGATGTCTATTTGTTAGGCAGCTTTAACTTACCTCAACTCAATGATGTGGTCTGGGTACCACGGGCCTGTCCTTTTAACCCTACAGCTTGATAACATTGCTGTTCT